GGAAATAGGTGGGGTTTAAGAGGGCCAGGTGAGAGTTTGAGCTAGGTGGGAGTTTGAGCTGGGTGGGAGCCCTGGGCACTGTGAAGGGTAGAGCTTCAGTTGGGCATTCATCTGCCCCCAGCCTATACTGGCTCTGCTGAACTGTGCCCAGGTGCCAAGAACCAGGACTTCGGGTGCTCTAGGCTCTGCAGCTGCAGTGAGCCCCCTAGATACACGGCATTGCTTCCAAAGCTCCTTTGTCAGGCCCAAGGGCATGGGCCAATGTGGGTGTCCTGCTGTGCCTGGGGGCCTTGAGGAGAGGGTGGGCATGGGCCTTGAGACTGCACTGACACCTCCAGTGGCCAGAACACCTAAGCCCAGGCTCCCGCTTTGTTCCTGGGGGGTCCTCTCTTCTATTCCATCTGCTACCATGAACACTTAGTGCCAGTTGCCACAGAAAGAGGGTGCTGTTCTCACAGCTTTGCGGGCACGTGGGGCAGGGATGGGCAGGTCGGCACCTGGTCAAGGCAGGGCCAGGCTACCTCTAGAGTAGGACAAGCCCACAGACCAGACTTCCTGCCCCCCAGCTCAGAAAGAATGCTCCTGTCTTATGGGGAGGCTGGCCTGGCCCAGCCCTCAGCTTCTGACCTGGAGGCAGAGACAACTACTAAGAACTGAGACCCCAGGCAGGCTGTTGCTGTGTGGAGGGAGGGAGGGAGGGAGGGAGGGAGGAGGCCCCAGAACAGAAAGCCACCACACTTCCTCCCTTGCTTCCTCCTGCATGGTCTGGAGCCCTTCTTCTGTGGACCCTTATAAGTAAACGTGGTTTCCTGTTTTCAGTGAAATTTACTCTGAGCTCCAGGTTCCATCTTCATCCATGACAACACGCCCCGCCCCCAGCTCCCTTCCTGCTGCTGCTGCTGGAGAGGGGCCAGCATGGGAACAGCCCTCTGTGCTTACCCCTGGGGCGGTGGTACTTCTGCGGATGCCATCCCTGGCAGCTGGTTCCTACGGCCCCTGGCTCAGCACCTGCAGGCTGGGGTGCATGAAACAAAGTAGTGGGGTGCGAACAAGGTGCCTGCCTCGAAGCGGCTTGGGAGTAGCCCAGGGCCTCCAGGAAGTTGGCTGCTGGGCAGGGTAAGATTGAGGCCGGAGGCTCATGGATCATGGCACTGTCTTAAAGCCCCAGGAAGGAAATCTGTGCTTTTAGGTACCAAGTCATTGTTAAGAGGTGTATCGGGAATTATGGGGCCTGTAACCCCTCTCCCAATGTTCACATTTAATAAAGACCTCCTACCTCTATTCCCTCTGAGGGAATGGAATTGACACTTTCTGAAAATATGCCACAGAGGCTACTGGAGATGCTGCTACCGGTCAGGCTGGCCCTGCCAGGGGGTCTGTGGTAGACATTGGGGTAAGCGTGTAGGAACAACAGGTTCTGCTTTTCAAAAGACCAGCCCTGGGGCTGCCCTCACTCTCACCTGGCCAGAGCTCACCCTTACACGCAACAGCCTGGGGCAGAGGGGCTGATACATTGTCTTCTTTAGGGAGCGGTCTGTGATGGGGAGACTCAGGACATAGTGAGTCTGGGGGCCGCAGAGTCCTGTCACCCTCTACCCCATCATGGGCACTGTGGCCTCTTCCTTTTAGAATAGGTCTTCCTAGAGCACTCCAGGGCTGGCCTGACTGTGCTGGGGCTGGGCTAAGATTTGCTCAGGGAACCCAAAGGGAATGGCAATGGGCAGAAAGAGGAACTGGGGTTGTCAGCCAGGATGCTGGGTGCAAAGGCCTCTTGAGAAGCAGACACTAACAACCCAGCTGAGCATCCGTCCTAGCCCACAGAGGGCACTGTCTAGGTCTTTCATTGTTTCTGCTTTGCATTGTTGCCTGTCTTTCCTGCACGGATGCTGTGGGTTAGGGTTAGGGTGTGAGTTCCAGGAGGGTGGGGGTCCAATAACAGCCTGTTCTTTGAACTCATTTACAGAGCTGACGACTGAAGCATAGATACTGGGTGATGGGCTGCACCAGGTTCTCTGGACTGCGTGCCATTGGCCGGGCTACCTCTGACTTTTTACCACCTCTAGTTTCCTAGCAGCTTCATCTGGGCCTGGTGGGTCTCCTCAACAGCCATAATGCCCTGAGCTTGTGCAGGCCAGGGGGAAGAGGTTTCATTTTGTTTTTTCAGTTCTGATCTGTTGGCATGGCTTCCTGGAATGTATGTTGAGAGGTATTCTGAAGTATCAATATAGCTTAATGAGAAAGTGCTGACATAGGCTAGCAATGCCTGCCTTTGGCACAGGATAGAGAAGTGGCAGTGTGTGTACCATATCGTCGCCTTTTCCATTTTAATACTCTGTGCTTTCCAAAACACTTTCCCATGTTATTACTTCTTCGTTTTCCCCCTCCCCCACCAGAAAACCCTGGGAGGCTTTACTGTCCTCATTTAATGCAGTGGGAAACTGAAGTTTCAAAAGGTTTGTGCTTTGTCACCACAAGTAAATAAGGAACTGGGACCAAGGCCTCGGTCTCCTGCTCCTGCTCCTCGGTCTCCAGGCCTGTGCTCCTTCCTCTGCATCAAACTGAATGGCATTAGCGGCCAGGACTTGGACTTGCTTACAGTGTAGACCAAGGCCCTGGAAGATGAAGCCGTGCCCACATCCCCGTGGCTCCGCTTTTTCTACACCACTTTTTGTCACTCTCCTTTCTGCCTGGCAAATCTGGTAGGCGTGGTGGCCCTTGCACCACATTTGCTTGCAGCAGGAGATGGGGAAGGGAGAAACTCTCAACTAACTGCAGAGGAACCAAGGTCTCTTGGAGGAACCAAACCAGTTGCATGTGCGGCATTTGAGCAGCTGCAGAACATCCCTCAAAAAGCAAGGCTAAGGGAAGGGTCTAAATTTAATCGTGCCGGGATGAAGAAGGCTGGCCTACTTGGTGAGCAGCGTAGGGAAGGGGCCAGGCTGGGGTTTCCTGAGCTTGAGCCAAGGGGAGCAGGCTTCCCAAATAGCAGCAAGGTCCAAGTTTAATAAACAGAAGAGCCCTTGGCCCTAAAGATACGGGGTGAGCTGCCAAGAGCTGTGTTTCCAGCTTATAGACTTTCATGGGGCTACTGCTGGCGATTCCTGTATCAGAAGTGGGCAGATTTTTTGTCCTTCTGCCTGGACAGGTGACTTCTGAAGGTCCTCACCAGCCTGAGAAGCCAGGGCTGGTTATTTGGGATTGCCTAATCTGCTGGCTGTGCTTCGTGCAGCAGAAAGGCCCAGTCAGGCCCTCCCTCTCCCCATCCCCCTGCCAAGGTGCCTCTATAGCGGGGGGCTCAGCTTCTGACCTGCCAGTTGCCTTCCGTCCTTCGTCCCAGCCCTTCCTCTTACAGGGGCCTCTGTGAAGGCTGCTTAGATCCCTCCCCCAAGCCTGGCCTCCCTGCCTGTGGCCTGCAGCTAGCTAAAGGGCTGAGGCTGTGCAATGACTTCCCCTGGCTGGTTGGCACACCATGTGTGACAGGTCTGGGCTAGCCTGGATGCCCTTGCAGCACAGCTGTTTTGAGCTCTGGGTGCTGGGTGGAGCTGGTCTAGGCTGGTCATAGGAATATCCGGCTCTCAGGAAATTGACCGGGGTGGGGGTGGGGGGCGGGGAGGGCGTTGGTGTGTGTCTGTGTGTCTGTGTCTGTGTATCTGTCCATCCCCGTCTGTCCGTCTCAGGGAGAAAAAAAAGAGATGCAAGGGCTCAGATACAGGATTTCTCTTGGTTTTGGGGAGGCTCTTGGTAGCTGAATCCCAGGCTCCCAACTTAGAGAGCCTCATGGATGCAACTTAGAGAGCCTCATCCTTTAAGACATGGATGCAAATGATGCCTCGTATAGAAAACCTCCCCTGGCTTCTGGCTCTGAACTCCTAGCACTGTATCACATTCCAGAGTGTTAACTCTGTTACATAACCATTTCCCCCACAGGACGGTAGGCTCCTTGAGGGCAGAACTCATCTCGGATTCCTAGCCTCTGGCACAGGCCTGACATGTATTTAGCACTGAATGAATAAATGAATTAATGAATGATTCAGTGTGGACTGGCTTGAACCAGGTAGATAATTGCAGGTGGGTGTGTGGGTCTGCTGTGCATCTCTGGATAGATATGTTCAGGGTGGCACCCACCCTCCTACCCCCATTAAATCACGGTGAGATTTCCTGGAACCTCGGGATAGCTGGTCTGATGCTGCTTAGGGCTCTGGCTGGTCTAGGAGGAGTTGGGATGATCCTACTTCCTCAAACACTCATCTAGTAAAATCTGCCCAATAGCAGACAAGGGTCCTCCTCTGGTCACCTCTGGTCACCTCTGGATTGGCCCTAAGTTTTGTGCTTAGGGGAACTCAGGAACCTGGGGCTTCACTGTCCAGAGGTGACAGTCTCACAGATGAGGGTCCAGTGCTCTTTGGAGGCAAATGCCAATCCTGACTGGGCACTGGCTGCAGGGCCCTAGCTTGCCAGCTCTGCCCCATCCCCACCCTGGCGTAGGAGGGCCAAGAGGGAGTGGAGGAGGCACTAGCCCTTGGGGCAAAGCCCAGACAGAATGTCAAGGGGAGGGTATGTAGAAAGAGAGCTCTACTCTCAGCTCTGAATTATGCCAAGGGCCTGAACTACCTGTGGCTCCCCACACTCACTCTTGATTATCACTGGATCTTAGGTCTTTGTTCAGGCTGACCTCCAGGCCAGAATATGCTTTCTCCCTATACTATGTTAACTATGACTGACTGACAAGACAGCCCAGGTGTCACCTCCTCCAAGGACCTTCGGGAAAACGTTCTTAGAACTCCTCAGTGCCCCATCTGCATCTTGGCCCCCACACATGGATGTCCTCATTGTCCCCCTTACTCAGCTGCATTTCACTGTGGCGGGAGCCATGTTGCTTTCATCTCTATATTTCTCATGCCTGGCACATAGTGGGCATTCAGGGAACCACAGCTGAATGAATGAATGAGCAAACGAACAATGACTGAATGAACTACGCTCCTGGGGTGGTCACTGCAGTTCTTCACTGTGGTGTCCCCTACAAAAATCAAATAAAAGAGATCTTTCCCAGCCTAAGGGAACAGAAAAAAAAACTGAAGGGATACATTCTTTTGGACTTAAAATGTTTCTTTTATAAATCTTTTTATAGCTGGTGCCTGATGCTATTTTTCTGTATTATGGTATTTTAGCCCAGGAGCCATTACATATTCCCCCAACTATTACATATTCCTCCAGTGAATCCCATCCCTCATCCTAGTCAACCTGAAGGTGTTTTCTGGGAGCAGTGTTGGTGATAACCAGGAATAGGAAGGAAGAGAAAGAGAGACTGCATTTCTCATCACCCAGCTTCCCACACTCTACCTAGGAGCTGGTACAGGCCGCGACCTGCTTCAAGGAGGGCCAGAATGTCAGGGACTGCATATGAGGAGGCAGTGTTCACAGGTCTCCATTGGGCTATGCTGGGTCTCTATGGAGGGCCTGGTCAAGATGGAAACTATTTTTGGCCATGGGGACCAGTCCCAAGTTCTGCAGGCACTGAATGAATAGTGGCCCCTATTCTGGGATGTTAAATGTGGCTACGGTGATTTCCCAGTTCTCTAATTCCCATTTCTTCTGGAGACCAAAAGGAAGTCAGATGTTGCCTCTAAAACTCAGGGTTTTAAAACATCATGGGTTCACCGACAGCCTCCCTGGGAAACTCTGCACTGCGGGGTCGGGGCAAAAGTGGTGTGTTCATTGGCCTACATCAGGATAGGCCCAAGTCCACCATCCTTCCCAGAGATACTCCAGAGAAAGAGCTCAGCCTGGACCTGCTCTGACCTCACAGTTCACAGTGCTAACGTCAGAGGGGAGAGGTCTAACAGGTCACCTACTGGGGGCAGAGGGGCAGAGCTGAGGCCTCATTTACAATCAGGGTTCCTAGGGTAGAGAGATTACGAAAATGTCCCAATCCTTTATATGTCTCTTTATCTATATTCTTTGCAATGTGACTTTGCAGTTCATTCCTTCAAAAGATAGAATTTCCCCACATCTTGAACCTGGGCTGGCCTCATTACTTGCTTTGGCCAACAGAATGTGGCAGAGGTAACCTTGTTCCAGTTCCAAGCTTGGGCCTCAAAAGCCCGTGTATGCTCTGCTGTCTCTCTGGGACCCTGTTCAGCTCCATGTGCATAGGCACAGGGTAACCTCCTGGTGGAGGAGAAAGAGGTGGCCCAGTTGTCCTGTCACCCCAGCTGATAGGCAGCCAACTCCTAGAAGCATAGCCGCCTGACTCACACATAGCACCCCCGCCCCTGGCATTTGGGAGCCCAGCTGAGAGCAGCACTGCCCAGCAAAGCCAGGTCTAAATAGCAATCCTACAGAATCGGAGCGAAATCAATGGTTGTTTTATGCCTCTCTGTTTGTTTTGGTTTGTAAGGCAGCATTATTGTGGTGATAGATAATTCATACAGTCCTCCCCCTCCTGGTTTACCTTCCACTGACACGAGCTAATGCAATTCCCCAAGCAACACCTATGAAGGAGATGTCATCTCCCTCTAGCAGATGACAAAACTGATGTTGAGAGGTTCTGACTTACTTGCCATCGTGCAGCCAGCTTCGCAGTGCTCCTGACTTCAAATTCTCCACTCTCAATTTGCAAACTGCTCCCACTCCAGCTCATGGCCTGCAGACTGTCTCACCATCCAGCCCCGCCTTCTCCAACCTTGTACATTGTCTTGGGCAATAGTCCTGCCCATTCAAGCATTAGACCAGATCAAAGACATTAGCCCTTTCCAACCATGACAGGTTGTGATGGTGTATCACACCAACACAACATAAGAAGCCAGAGGGCATCTCTTCCTACTTGGCCCAGAAACACCACTATATGGGTTAGTGCGGCCCCACAGGTACACAGCTTGGCAAATGGAGTGAGGGCTGGCTAGTCCCCGAGGTCCAGGCTCAATCTGTACCATACCACCGAGCTGCTCTGTGAGCAAAGAGGACCAGAGGCTTTGGAGTCTGCGGACACAGATGAACTAGCACCCTACCTTTGGACGCACGGGCCCTGCATCAATACTCGTAGGCCGACAGACTAAAGGCCTACCAAGGATTCACCCACTGCACAGCACTCCGCTCCCTCATGCAGAAGGCGGAGCTTTCTCTCACCTGGCTCCCCGCCCCCATGGCCACCCTCATTGCTCACCGACAGTGTGGGGGTGCCCTCGTCTTCCACAGTGACTACCAGGTGGTAGAAGCTCTGCCGCTCGCGGTCGGGTGGAGCGGGCCGCGTGGCGATCTCACCACTGACGCGGTCCATGCGGAAGGTCATGTCCTCGTTGCCCTCAGTGATGTAGTAGGACAGGACACTGTTGATGCCAATGTCACGGTCGGTGGCTCTCACCTGAACCACAGCGGTACCCCCGCCCACGTTCTGGGGGAAAAGCAAGAAAGTGGTCATTCCAGATTCAATGAGACAAAGTCCAGTACCCAAGGGCCTCACCTGGACCTCCAGAAAGCTTTGCAGTCTATCCTGGAGTAGTGAGAAGGTTGAAGATGATGGTGGCAAACACTCCGTGGGCTCCTACTACATGCCAGGGCCGTGATAACTCATTGACTCCCCTCTACAACACTGCGAGTTAGGTCCTGGGGCCATCCCTCTATTCACAGATGAGAAAAAACTGAGGTGCAGGGGAAGAATGTGTGCCAGTCGCACAGCCAGTCAGTGGCAGAGCCAGGGTCTGAATCCCAGGGGGCTGGCCTGAGAGCTGGCCTCTAAACCTCTATGCCATCCTGCCTTCGTGAATATCCAACTTGGCATGACATCCAGCAATGCTGGGGCAACGACTCCTGGGAGCGCTCAATCTTAGGACTGGCTGAGCAATCATTGCTTTATTTAACAGCAGCTCTCCCAGGTTAAACCTCAGTTCCCTGTTGGTGGTGAAAGGCCACTTTCTTCTTTCCCTCTTATCTCCTCCTCACATCTACCACAAAAAGATACTGCACTTCAGGAGTTGGCTGAGGTGTTAGGTTAGAATTAAGAATGAGTAAGCAGTTGTCCCCAATCCTGAGATCTGAGAGATTAGTGGGCCAGGCAGACATTTAAATGGGCACTATCCAGTCCGCTCAGGCCCACTGTCCACTCTGGATGTCCAGCTGTACAGGTGCTGGCTCTGCCCTCACCTCGTTCACACTGACATTGTATCCAAAGGGATTCTCGATCACCGGGGGATTGTCGTTGATATCCAGGATGGTCACCTGCAGGATGTGGTCCTTCTTCCGTGGAGGGGTGCCACGGTCAGATGCCACAACCTGCAAGGAGGGAGATGACTGGAGTCAGGGCCAAAGGGTTGGGGAAGGTTAGGAACACGAAGTCCGAAAGGGCTGTCTGCTTGGTGGGAGGACTGGGAGGGCAGAGACTTGCTGGCCCACTCCTGCCCGCAGGTGGCTTCTGACCTCTGGGCTCTCTCCAAGGCTTTCACCTTCCGCCCCTTGCCGCAAACAGTCCTTGTCCAGCTCTTGTCTGACCTGGGACCCTCATCTGCCATCTGACTCCAGTGTGCCCAGTGTTCACCTCCCAATCCTACCCAATTGTATTCTGGGCTGTGCCAGCCCCTGACTGTGCCCCTGGGCCTTCAACTAGACCTTTAGCTTTGAAGGCCCCTGTTCCACACACTCCGATCTGAACTCTGGCAAACAGAGAAAGAGCCTCAAATAATCTTTTCAGCAAAGAGCTGGAGTCCTAACCACAACCTGAGCCCGTCCCTGGGAGGTACAGTGCTTGCTGGATGCCTGCGGGGCAGCAGAAATACTCTAGTGGCTCAGCCATCCGTCCCGCGCCCCGCCCCCGCCCCCGCCTCAGAAACATAGCCTTGGCGTCCCCAGAGCCTCATCAGGAAATATGCCAGTCACAGCAATTCAGCAGTACTGGTGGCCTTAGTGACTTCTCACACCTGCACTTCTTACCTCAGCAAAGGCAGGCTAGGCAGGGGTTTTTCTATCTGTTGCACAGGAGGCCCAGAATAAATAACTTGCCATGGTCACACTGTGTTTGTGGAAGAGTCAGGGCTCCCCTAGGCTCTCTCCTGGCTCTCACAGCAGGGACAGGCACCTCTGCTGCTCCAGAGCCCCCTCCCTGGGTCAGCCTCACTCATGCTCTTGGTCCTTAGGGGTACTGCCTACCCCATGGTTCTTGGGAAAGTGACAGCAGAGATGGTTACCAGCAGGGCATGCTGATGGGCACACTTTCCTGGATGGTGAACAGTGACCCTGAGGAGGGCCAGTCCCTACCTTGAGGATATAGTGGTCTAGCTCTTCTCTGTCCAGGGGCCTGGCCACAAACACTTCTCCAACAGAGTCATTTGTGGTGACGATCTCGAAGGCTCCAGCGACATTGCCCAAGGCCAGGGAGAAAATCACCTGTCATGGAAGAGAGAGAGTGAATGGGGAGGCAGAGGGGCGGTCGGTCAGGCCAAGGGGCACGTTCCTGCCCAGCTGGGCCCTCTGCTCAGTAAGGGTGTTTGAGAAGATAACGTGTTATATAGGCGTGGTTATGTCCCTTAAAATGGGGGTGGCAGGCCCACTGAGGTAAGGCAGGGCCTGTGGCAGGTTCCTGGGTGGGAGTATCAGCCCACTAGCCTAGGGGCCTGAAGACAGCTGTGAGCTCCAAGCACCGACATTTCCCAGGGCAGAGGCAGGGAAGTGCTGACACTTTCGGAGTGTCTGCTAGGAACAGGCACGTTGCCCTGGTATGACATGGACTCTGGCTCTCCCAACAGTCTTGTCATAGGGAGCTGCCCTCTTCAGTTCACAGACAGAAAGCTTGCTCAGAAATATGAAACAACTGGTCACATAGCTCGCAAGTGCCCAAGAGAATGAGGATTTGAACCCAGGGGCTTCTGACCCCAAAGCCAGTGTCTCTTGGTCTCCCAGGGGTGTGCTAGAATTTATAAATGGTGCCACCCAATTCATAGGACAGATCGAAGCAGTGTGAAGACTGACGTGCTCTATCACCCCTTCTTGTGCTCTAGGGGTCTCCAAATCTGGAGCATGGGGAGTGCTTCCTATTGTGGGATGAGGGCCCGAGAAGCGCATCCTCTCTGGGACCGGGGGCTAAGTGGGGGAGGGTTGGTCTCAGGAGCCAGATGCTGTGTGGCTTGTGGATGAAAGTGATGGAGGAGTCACCATGAAAGCTGAACCTCCATGGCTTTCCGCTTGCGGCGGGGGTCTGAGCTGTGGCTAGCCTTTGGGGTCCACATTCATTCAACCCAGGCAGGGTCAACCGCTTGCACAGCTCTGCCTCCTTTCCCTGACCACATACTGGGGGAAGAGCAGGGTGGTCCTACTTGGGACTGGGCAGAGCCTGGATGACCCATTCTTCCTGCTCAATGATGGAATTGCTTAAATGGCTCCCTCTAGCTGAGGGGCTGTGGGAGCCCCATATTGACAGGGGCGATCTGGGCTATTTCTCTCGATGCTCACCTGCCCATTGCTGCCCGCGTCGGGGTCCCGGGCCTTGACGGTGGCCACGCGCTGGCCCACAGGGCAGTCCTCAGGCACACTGACCACCGAGTCGGAGGTGAAGTCAAACCGGGGACTGTTGTCGTTCTCATCCAGCACAGTGATGTAGACCTGGACAGGTGACCGTGGCTAGAGACCTACCATCTCCTTCCCCACCCCAGCCCCAAACACCAGGGTCCCACCATGGGTCCATTGGGGACCAGACCTCCGATTGGTTCTGGAACGTCAGCTAGCTTTACGGGCCTGCCTAGGTCAATCCTGACTTTACGGAGGACGTGAGCACATTTCTTCTAGGAATCTGGTGGGGGAGGGCCACACAGACTCAAATGCTAGGGCTGGGACAGCAAGGGAAGGGGCCTGGGGTGACTCAGGGGTGGTGGCCTGGGAGAACTGGAAGGCATGGGCCCTGGCAAAGGGAATGGAAGCTACTTAGCTCTAAATCCGTGAGGAAGTGCCAGCTTGGCACTGCCTTAGTTTCTTGTTTTTCAAGTGGAACTAAGATTCCAGATTTTTGTGTGAAATTAGGTGGTGATTAATAAAAACCGAAGAAAAAAAACGTGCAGGCTGGCTACCACACATCTGGCGGCCAGATATTGTCCAAAGGCCTCTTCATTCACACTTCTGGATTAGAGGGAAGGAAACAGGGCTCAGGAGGAGGGGGGCCATGAGGTGGGTTGGTGGTCCCCTTGGGAAGAAGGCAGATGGGGAAGGGAAGAGAACATGCACATTGCGCCCAGAGAACGTATCTCTTGTGTCTACAGTGCTAGCTTTGCCTCCAGGGTCTGGATAGCAAGCCAGAGAAAGCTCTGCTGTGGGCATAGACTCCAGCCCATGATGGCTACTGTCATGAGGTGGGAAATACAAGTGCCCCTTAGGTTCACTGATGAGGAGGTTTGGTGGGTAGGAGGATGCTCAGGTTTTAGGAATTCCAGCCAGGCCTCTTCCCCAGGCCACACCTCATCTTCTCCTTCCCCGGACCTGGGATTCTGGGTCCCAGGCTGCCTGCCTCCTGCAGGACCCCACAGGGAGCCTGTGATACTTCCTGAGGAGATTCATTTCATCCTTCCTCCTAAACTGGGTTTTTCTTCTCAGTCCTAGCTGCACTCCTATCTTTAGGAGGCTTTTAAAACCATAAGGTAACAACTCTACCACTTACTAGCTGTGCTTTGCAGTAGGACTTCGCAGTAGGCTTTGCAGTAGGACCAACTCTACCACTTAGCTGTGCAATTTTGGAAAATGTTATTCGAACCCTCTAATTTTCCATTTTTTCAACTGAAAGTAGGAACAAGAACATCTACAGTACTGGGATATTGGGGGATGCAAAAGGGCTAACAAAAACTTAAGGGGTGAAGCGTGGTGGTTCCTATCCAGCTTTCTGCCTGGCAGACAGGCATGGTCTCGCTCACCAAGACTCTGCTCATCCATCATGAATTTTTGTCAGGTAGTTCCATGATGTCCCAGAGCCCCCGTGTGCTCACCTGTGAAATGGGCGTAATCATGCCTACCATGCTGTTCTCAGGGCGAAAACAAACAAGACCCCTTTGCTCTGAATCCTCCCAAACTCTTCCACTTGGGTCAAGGCCTTGTTTTGGCTCTCCGTGCTTCCTCCCGCCACAAGGCCTTTGTATGCGCTGTTCCCTCTGCCTGAAATGTCTTGGCTGTATAAACTCCTGTGCTTTCTGGGGCTCTTAGCTTGAGTCTCTTTCTCAGGGAAGCCCCCCTCAATTTCCCTGACATCTTATTATAGGCTCTCTCTTGTGGCATACATCTATTGGTGCGATAATTTGATCAGTCTTTCTCTGACTATATCTTATGCTTGTGAAGGCAGGGACTGTGTCTGATTTTGGTTTCCTGTGGTACCCCGAGTTCAGCCCAGAGCCTGGCACACAGTAGATACTCCCTCTATGATTATTACTCTGATGGTCATGATGATGCTTGTCAGGTTCTTCTAGTAGTAGGGAGTCAGCTTCAGTGGATGAGGTCTACAGGAAGTAGACATGAGTCTGTGTCCCCACCCAGGGCCTCATGGTCCAAATCTCCCTGCCCTGTCCCTTGAGGGCCTGAGGGTGTAACACTCAAGAACTCTTATGGCAGAGTCACCGCCTTCCCAGTCTGCCCCCTTCTGCTGCCTCCTCAACCCTCCCAGGGTCTGGGAGGAGTCAGGTATAGGTAAGCTGTGGTTTGGGGTTCCGGCCTCACAGAGGAAATGGTAGCACTTCTAAAAGGCCCGTCAGTCTGCCTCCACCCTAGTACCTCCAACAAGTTTTGGGCTGAAAGGGCTGGTGTATTTGGGGCAGTGGCCATGGAAGCCTCTGAGAGGAAGCCAGGGAAGAGCAAAGGGGTGGAGGTCCTGCTTTCTGAAAGAGGGTGAAGCGACTGTGGAAAAACAGGACTGTGCAGGAGTGTGTGCTCTGAAATGCCTGCTAGTCCATCAAAGGCAGTGGGCAGCCTGGTCCACGGAGGGCTCCAGCAGCTCACAGGGAGCATCTTAGCTGCTTATCAGTCTCCACTTGGCCTCGGCTCCTGGGCTCCTCATGACAACAAGTTGTGAGGGACAACTGGCCCATTTTACAGATGAGGCTGCCAAGGCCCAGGGAGAGGGTCCCATGTAACCTGAGTCTCAGCTCCTCGGGCTGAGAGGGCCAGGAGCTGCAGGACACAGGGCACCTATTCACTGCCCAACACTAAGGGCTCTGCTCATTGGCTGCCATCTGGGGCCCCTGGGAGGCCAAGGGGAGCTGTGTGGGTACAGTGCTGCTCAGGGCTTCACTCACCCTCAGGCTGGTTTCGTGGACGGAGGGGTCTTTGGTGTATGGTTAAGCCACAGTCAGGGAGCCGGGCCCCCTCTCGGGAGCCATGAGGCAAGGACCCCAGCAGCCATGTTTGGCTCTTCGCCTTTAAGTTGATGTTACAGGGACTCAGTGGGGAGTGAAAATGTGGCTATAACCAAGGCTGATGATGAGCTGGACACCCATATGGTCTACAGATGGTCTCAGACCTGACTGGCCGGTGCCCAAGCTAAATCTATTGCTAAATGTTCTCATCACTGTAGGATGACCTATCACACTGTAGGTCTCCAGTGGACCCCTACCGTGGGGCTCACCCCCATTTCATCCCCCTCAGCCTGAGGTCACCTGCCTGCCTCTCTCACCTCTCCCACGCTCCTAGGAACCTTATCAGGCACCTCTGACTTCAGGGGTCACCCTCCCCAGTGTTCCCAGCATGAGGTCTCCCCTGCCTTTACTTAGAGTCCTTGAGGGAGGTGACTCATACCGCGACCATGGCTGCCCTTGCCCAGCATTCCCCAGGCCGTGGAGCTGTGAACTCCATTTTACATGCACCACAGTATAACAAGCTCCTTACACCAACCCACCAAGACAGGGAGGGGGTCCCCTTTGCAAACGCCACTCCCACAATATCCTTCTTCAAGATTAGTTTACAAGGGCTTCCTATCCACCATCTCCTGCCATCTCTATCACATCCTCCGAAGGCAGGGCTGCTGGCATGACCCTCATTTTAAAGCCGAAAAAATGAAGCACAGAGCAGCTGAGCAACTTGCCTGTGTCACACAGCTGGTGAGGGGCAGAGCTGGGATGAGGCCTCAGTGTTCCTTTCATTGTGGTTCCACCTACTCCTTTTTAGTGTACACCCCACCCCAGGATCCCATGGGTGCTCGGCAGGACACAGAAGGCAGAGAGAGCAGAGCTAGACATAGGGTACATGCCCGAGAGGGGTCTGGACTGGGATGGCTGTGAAGGGTCTGATCAGGGACCCGCTGCAGACCCATCTACGTGTCTTTTCTTCATGGGAGGCAGGAAGTTCCAGCACCAGGCAAGGCCCAAGCCAGCATTGGCCACACAGCCAACAGCACAGGGAAGAGCCCCAGTCCACAGGCTACTCACCTTCTGTAGGCAGAGCCGTCAGGAGGAGGCCAAGGGAGAGAAAAGACAAAGATGCAGGTAGTTAGAAGCCTGCAGGTCTTCCAGCCCCCACTCCAAGCAGCAGTCTGTTGAGGATGCCCCCAGCCCCCACCTGTCTAAGGTCTCCTCCCAGCCCGGGCTGCCTCGGAAGGTATGGCATGACCAGCTGCAGCACTGCCTCTGGGCTACTGAAACCCTTGTCCACCGACCGGTCGGCATTTTGGGTGGCCGGTGAAGATGTGAGTTTGAAGGTGACCTGGGGTGGTGATGAGTGAACCTGTGGGGTTCTTACCCAGGGACCTACTCACCACAGTGGAGTCTACTTTGGGGCCACCGTCATCTGCCACCACCGTCAAGGTGTAGAAGTCACCTTTCTCCCGGTCCACCAGGCCTTTGACTGTGATCACACCCTGCAAGGAGGGGGCCAGATGGTCGACAACATTGCACCCACCAGGCAGAGCCCACCCAGCCCCCAAGCAGTCCCATGCTCCAGCCGAACCAGACTCCTCACTAACCCTGAACATTCTGCCCACTGTCACACACCCACGCCACTCTCTCTGCCTGACAAAACTTCTCCACGTAGCTCTGTAGGTTAAAATCCTACTGTTCTCTCAATCCCACTCAGATGTCACTTCTTCCATGTAGGTTTCCTGTTTCCCCAGCCAGGTATGAGCACTCTCTTATTTGGACCCAGGAGGTGCTCCATTATACCTATATACTGTCATTCTTTTCACATATTTCCATGTGATGCTGATTTGCATTCTTCATTATTCCCACTTCTACTCCTAGCCTGAGAACTCTTTGAAGGTTAGAAAGGGTCTTGTTCATCTTTGTATTCCCATTATGCCCCAGGCCTGGCACATTGTAGTGATTATTACCTTGCCTATTTTCAAAGAAGGGATTTTGATAAAAAACACACTAAAACAAAGATGAAAGAGTAAGATCCAGGCAGTAGATAAGAGATAGCTGCACTAGATGCCTAGCTTAAACTAGCTTTTGCAATGAAACACATTTATATCTGAGCTTCCTAACAGCCAAGATAAAAAGGAAAACATGATGATCTGCATAGCTTTTGTTGTCTAGTAACAAGGACACCAGGTCGCCTAGGTATAAACTTTATCTTACTCCTAAATATGAAACGGGATATATTACAGGGATGTTTATTTCAGATACTTTATGACAAAGAGGACAGTGCTGTATATAGGAGCTCAATAATGGTTGGTTAGCTTTAAAAGAATTGAGCTCCCTGCTCTGAGAGAGAGCCCTTGCCACGTCTGTCCCAAGCCTCCCTCACCGTGATGGCATCTATCTTGAAGAGGGCTTTGGCCTGGGCGCTGGTGTAGGCATCAAAGCGATAGGTGATCTGGTTGATGTTGTCAATGGAGTAGGCCTGGACCCGCACAATCTCAGTGCCCAGTGCCAGGTTCTCCAAGATGGAGGCCTCGTAGGAGGTGTTGGAGAACTGCACGGCCTCATCCAGCTCATTGAGCAAAGTGATGTAGACACTGCAAAAGCCCTGGTTGAAGGGGGGTGCTTGGTCAGTGGCGGACACGTTCATCAGGTAGCTGGTCTTGGTCTCATAGTCCAAGTAGTCCACGGTGATGATGAGCCCCGTGCTCTCGTCAATCTCGAACTTCCCCTCTGCGCCTGACAGGATGCGGTAGTTTACCAGGCCGCCATCCCCTGTAGGAGGATGCAAGAGGTTGGACAGTCCCAGATGAGTGGAGCTGCCCTGTGGTTTCCCAAGGTGCCCACAGCATACCCACTGCTGTCCTAGAGGGACAGGGTGAGGGGCCTTGGCTGGCCTACCCAGCGTGCACTGTCCCCCATCTGTGGGCTGGATCATACCAAGGGATGTGGCAGAGGTTTGGCTGGCCTACCCAGCGTGCACTGTGGGCTGGATCATACCAAGGGATGTGGCAGAGGACAGTGTCAAGGTCTATGTGGACAGCAAGGTCCAGCACACAATGTTGCCCCCGCCCTGGGGCCTGGTCCGGGCCTGAGAAATATGCTGGAGGGGTTTAGTTTTGCTCCTTAAGCTTCGAAATTTAAGCTCAAGCACCTCCCTTGTGTATTTGGACAAAGAGGGTAGAGAAATTAGAGATCACTTGTAGTGTCTAGGGTCATTGATCTAGAAAATGTTAGATCAACAGGGAAAGCATCCTCAGAGGTGGCCAAGCCTTCATCTGGTCCCTCTGGATGAAGAGTTCCAGTGCCAGGGACGCCTTCCCCCATTCTCCTTATTTCTCTACCCCAAATCCCCGGGTCTTGGAATACAGCCTTCAGCCAGGAGCAAGAGCTGGGCTTCCTTCGCTCGAGTCCACACACTTTGAGCGGAATGGTCATAAAACCACTCAGGAAATCCCAGACTTCCTTGAAATTATTTGCAAAACTCTGAATAGACCTGCATTTTTCTGGGGAGGGATTGATAGCTTCCACTTGTTTTTCAAAAGAATTCCTGAGCCAGCAAAGGTCATGAACCACTGCGCCACAGTGATATATATGACCTAAACTGTATAAATGTGCCACATAAGGGAGAACAATCCACCTAAGAGTGTTCAGACCAATTTCTGCCTCCACTCTATCCTGTGCCCCAGGTGAGCTGGGGATGCTGAGAGCCACCAGAACAGCTAATATGAAGGAAGGGCAGGAACCTGAGAAACTAGGAGCAGCTCAGGGAGCCTCTTTGGGGCACAGTGGAACCCCAGGAAAGAGCTCCTCTCTGGCTGTACCCCTGGCTTAGGGCACAGGCCCAGATAGCCTGGCTCCATGAAGACGGCCATAGTGACCTGGCCATGTTTTCCTTCATTTTGCACTGCTAACTGTGGCCACCTCTGGGGCTCGGGGCCCTCAGTGAGGCCCAGGCTGCCTTCAGGGCAGACCATTGCCTTGTGGAACAGGTTGTGCTGCCCCTTGTAAAACTCGTGTGTGCCAGGCCCGGAGCCTCGGCTGGATGGAGGAGCCAGGCCTCAGCCAGCTTTCTGGCAAGTACTTTATTTCTCCTAGCCCTGCCCAGCCCCCAGCCAAAGGCTAGCTGGGAGCTGCTGGGTCCTGCAATGACAAAGCTGGACTTCTCAAACTTGTGACCTCTCCTCTCTCCATCCAGAGATTGAGACAACTCCCTCTAACTCCAGCCCTGACAGGCTCCACAGGAGCAGGAGGGGTAAGCTGAGGAGGGTCATTCTAGGGAATGGGGCCCCCTGGCTTCCCCTGCTGGCCTTACCAGTGTCTCGGTCTGTGGCTCGAACGACAATGACCGATGTGCCAATGCCTGCGGTCTCTCGAAGAGCCAGGCGGCTGTACTGCTGCTGTGTGAACACAGGGGCCTCGTCATTGACATCCTCCACATATACTATCACCTGTAGGAGCCAGACCGGGGCAGAAGGTCAGTCAGTGAGGCTGTCCAGTTGGTTACCGTGTCCTCCCACCTCGCACAGTATCTGGCACATGGCAGGTGCTCAAACATCATTTGTTGAGGAAAGAACTTTATCTTACTCTTGGCTCTGCCACTAACCTTGTGGGAACTTGTGACTAATTAGTAAATCTTTCGAGCCATCAGGTTTCTCAGTTATGAAACAGTAATATTGATATAATAATTCATGCCCCATGTCACTCCCAGGGTTGTAATGAAGATAAAATGATCCAGACTTTGCAAAAGTGCTTGAAAAGGTTTAAAGTGACCTCATTCAAATACCAAAATGTATCTGGGAGACTAGACATAAAACTGTTAATTATGATTGTAGCAGGGAATGTCGGTTCTAACTCCTCTAGATTCTCAGGCATCTTCTCTGGGTGTTTTCACTGCCAGTGGTCAGCACCCGCTGAGGCTGCTGGAACCCACACTCAGAGAGCAGAAGTGTCTGGGAATTACGTCCCCTGGGGCAGGCCTTACCTACTGACTAATGGGCACACAGTATAAATATTCCAGCTTCCCGAGCTGGAATGGTGACTCTCTCCAGAGCTCTCTGTGGAACTGGGTCAAAGTTCCCTTTGTGCTACTTTGCTGTCTTTCCTCCCTGGTCCCTTCAGGCTTTTCCTGGGAACACTTGCTATTAATCGCTTTCACACCAATCCTTATGTCAGGATTTGCTTCCGAGGATGTCATCCAGGACAGTGGCTATGTCTGAATTGTGGAATTGTGCATAATTTTCATCACTGCTTATCCATACTTTCTAATTTCTCTTTCATTAACATGTGCATCTTGCGTAACAAAAACGAAAGTTTAAGAGATGTTTACGGAGAGATGTAAACTTCTTTTTGTCACACCACCTGCCCCCACCTCTCGCACAGAAGCATGGGGAGGGTGTGGCCCATGGATGGGCAGAACCAGGGCTGGGTCCAGAAGGACCAGTATGGTGGGGGAGGGGAGTTACAACCACAGAGTATTGGTGCTCCAGAAGCAGTAGTGAGCCCGGGGCTCCTGACTCTTTTCCCCAGATGGGAGACAGGGGCTCAGAGGTGGGGAGTGACTTGCCCAAGGCCTCCCGTAACTGAGAGGGCTGGAAAGGTTCTTCTGGTTTCAGTCTACTAAGACTACTGCTCTTCGCTCTATGCTGGGGGCAAGCTGGCCCCAGAACAGGAGAGACACCCTCCTTCCAGCCTGACAGAGCCAGGGCCAGCAGAACTTGCCAGAAGAGTGGAGGGGGAGCAAATGGGGCAGGAGCAATGATGCACAACACGGATTTTACACGTGGTCACAGCACTAACGGTGGAGCCCAAGGCACAGACTATTCAAGAACATGAATATTTAGTTTCTAGTTGATCACTGCCCCTGGGATCAGCCCTGGCTTCTGTTCTAGGTTTAGATGGAAATTAGTTGGAGAGAAGTGAAGGGGCTTCTGTTGGTATAAGCAGGAACGGCGGCCTAACTGGTGGAGAATTCTGGGGTGGGTGGGGTGGCAGAGCTAGGGTGAGGTGATGTATACGGGGATAAAGGTTTCTCTACGTCTCTGCTCCTGGGGTTCCTGTAGCCCTGGTGTGTCATCAGATTTTCACATGCAGGCACCCAGAACCCACTATGCAAACTAAAATGCCCACTCCAGAACACAGCTGTTTACAAGCCGGAACCTTCTAAGTTTGGCTTCCCCAGGAACTTGGCTGGGCAGATCCTGGGTGGGGTGGGTGTGGGGAGGAATTTGCATGGATGAATTTCGGGAACTCTTTCTGTAAACAGAAACTAACCATCTATCTTTCAAAACTGTGAGCCTTCCCCTTCCTCAGTCTGCTTGTCCAAATGGCCTTGAGTTCAAGGTCGAAGGGAGAAAACAGGGCTAGTCTGACAGTACAATAAAAAGAAGAGGGAGGTAAACATGGAGCCTGGGTGTGGCCCATCCTCCAATGAGGCTGGCAACATGCCGCTCTGGTTGGTTTCGGCTTTGTTTTTAGCAGCAGAGACAGAAGGCAAAATGGTATGTGGTTTGCGAACCTGAGAGACCCAGATGTACAGGAAACACACAGGTCTGCCGAATTCTTGCTGAGCAGAAGAGCTCAGCTAATGAGCTCCTGGGCTCCCTGGAGAACCAGCCCCACTTTCCATCCAGTGCTGTGCCCTCCAACAAGGATGGCACAGGGGATGCGTGTGTGCGTGCATACTTGCAATGTGTACGAGACCCCTGGTCTCCATGAGGAGCGTTTCACGCCGTGCTCCCTGGCTCTTCCATCTGACCTGTCCCTGTTCTCTGAGGCAGGAACTGGAGAATGTGGATGGTCTCCAGGAAAATGAATCCAGGGCAAAGCTGGAGTCTCCACATCATCTTCAGGAAGGTCCCAACTTTTCTGGGGCTCAAGGGTATATGGAGGCTGTGTACTACAGGGGCCATGCAGCCCCCACCTCATGGGCCAGCTCCCACATTCCCACCTCAGTATGACTCTGGGAATAAGGCAGCAGTCTTCTGAACAGGCTTGTGTGAGAGCGTGGGACAGTGGTTAAGAGAAGCCCAGCTGACTGCCTGGTGCCTCTATCTTTACCTCTCTGTGACCCTAAACACGTTGGCCAATCCCTTCCTATCTCAGTCTCATCTATAAAACGGGTATAACAACAGTGCTTACCTCATAGGGCTAATACGAGGATTAAATGAGTTCAAGTACGTGAAGCACTAAGGAAAGTGCCTGGCACAGAGTAAGTACGATATGAGGGTTTATTATTCCTCAGGATTCCTGAGGAGAGGAGCAAAAGGAGGGTGGCCAAGCTGGTGTGGCTCTGGATGTCCCACCCTGGCACTAACTGGCACAGCCTGGCTTTGATCTGTTTTACACAGTGCCTTGGGGTGCTGCATTCTATTTTTAAAGATACGTGGCTAAAAGAGATTTGCAGCCGCAATGCTGGAGAGAGGTGCTCACCTGCTCCTGGGAGGGTGAGGAGTGAGGGGGCCACAAGGAGGGTTGTGGTTAGGCAGCTTGAAGTCCAGGGAGCCACTCAAGCTATGCTAATGTCAGTCACTCTGTGGCCTGAAGCTGGCCCGACAAAGGGCAGGTTGTGACGTGGGTGTGATCACATGAATAAGCAACTCAGTCATGCAGGTGAGCGTGGCTGTGTGGGACTGCCTGAGTGTATGTTCAAGTAACGGTTTCACCTTCAGTCAGCAGGGCCCTGGAATTGTTCCAAGTAGCCCCAAGGTATAAAAATCCAAGGGGTCTGCCCCCTCAGCCATCTCCACCTAGGTAGATCTCACTCGGAGGGAAGGGGCAGCCATGAGGAACCCTTTTCCATCTCTTTCCGGGACAGAGCTTTGGGGATACCAGCAGGGGATGGGCCAAGGCTGAGTCACCTGTTCCCCCTGCGTGATGGTGACCCCAGGCAGGCCTCTGTTCATTGTTTCCAGCCTGAAGGAAACAGCGGGTAGAGATAGGGCTGATAAGAGGAGCCGATTCTGCCCCACTCAGTTCTGGGTAAAAGTCCCTTGGCCTGACTTTTCCCACTCCCTCCTACTCTTCACGTATGGGGTCTGACTCACTTTCCACCCGGTTTAAGGGAAGGGGCTGTGAGCTGCTGAGTATGCAGTGGGGGTAGGATGGGGTGACCTTGAGAGGTCATCTCAGTTATTCCCCTGCCACTTGGTAGGCGTGTGCGTAAACCAGCCCAGCTGGGGGGAATATTTGTGTGTCTGTTTTTGACCATTCATGGAGATGAAGGCTGATTTGATTTCAGCTGCCTAGAGGAGAGGCCCGAGGTGAATAAGGGTGGGCAGAAAAGACTAAATTTGACAGAACAGCTGGAAGTTGTCACCAGGGCATTAGGGGGACACTTTCAGTGGAAAGAGCACTGAACTTGGACTCAAAAGACCTGAGCTCAGAAGTCTATTGCTAATGACTTTTCTGTGCCTCAGTTTCCTCATTTGTAAAATGAAGTTGGCAACATCTACATCTCCAAGATCACATATATGAGATTTCCGTGGCTCATCGTAGAGAGTCATGTGACTATAGGGGGTTAGTATGGTAAGAACACCTCTTTCATTCTTCTGGACAGATATCAATATCATTGACCCCCTTCCACATGTGGAGAAACCGAGGCTCAGAGCCAAGATCCTAGGCTGGGCTAAGCCTGTGGCACCCCGCACTGTACCTTTTAGCTCCAGGTGTCATTCAGCACCTAAATCAGCGATAGCCTTGCCCCACCAGGCCCCAGAGAGGGGCCATCTCCCCTTCACCTAGGGCATTGGCCCAGCCCTGAGGTCAGTGCTTCACGATCTGCTGACTGGCTATCCAAGAGCTGCCCAGCCCACCCCCGACCTCACCCTGACAGAGCTCCGCATAGGGCCCAGGTCGTGGTTGTAGGCCTCCACTATCAGCACGTGGGATGAGTCCTGCTCCCGGTCCAGGGGCTGGGGTCCTCGCATCAGAAGTCCACTGCTGATGTGGATCCGGAAGTTATTGCCATGGTTACCTGTAGGGAGAGATAGAAAAGATGCATGAGTTCTGTCCTGGAGCAGGATCCTCATGGAATCATGGGGTGGGCGGAGAGCGGAGGGAAGAAGGGGTCCCAGACCCCCAGAATGCTGACCCTGCCCAGAGGCCTCAGGAGCTTGGCCAAAGCCCACAATGGCAAGCAGGCCTCTGCCTCATGCTCTCCTGGCCTGACAGGATGGGAGGGAGGGGGCAGAAGTTCATTATGTGTCCTCCTTGTGGGAAGCCTGGGGGTCCTCTGAGAACCCATACCCAGAAGTGTCATTGGATTCAATATTCAGAGGGATCTGGGCACTACACAGAGAGGAACTAAAACCAAATTCTCTGTGGTGGCTGAAGCCAAGATTTCATGGACATCTCCTGCAACCATTTGTGGTAATGGTACCCTGATTTTCCTCTGGGTATCCACCCTCCTCTACGCTCAGTGCATATGCCTTGCACAGGGGTGATTTTACTCTGATTCCAAGAGAAAGCAGATCAGCATATTTTAGTCTCTGGCCACAGTGATTGTTTCAGGGCTGAGGATGGTCACATGATTCTAGTTGGCCAATGAGACTCATTTTGGGAAGTTTGAGAGCACAGTCCAAGGTGAATGGTTTGGGGATGGGCACATGATACATTTTGCGCCAATGACACTCAGTCTCTGGGAAGCTTGCTGCTGGGGGCTGCACTTGTCCCCAAGAATCCCTCTCTCAGGGTAATGCCCTACTGTGGGACATGAGGAACTTCAAGAGCATAGTGATCAAATGCAGTACCCTCACTTAAAAAACATCCAACTTGGTGCAAATGATCGAAGAATGTCCCTGTTTCCTTTCTCTGGCCCGCTCGCGTGTACAGTACTTGGGGCTTCCTTGACCTCACCTCCCAGGCCCTTGGTAGCCTAGAGAAGCTCTGCCATCCCAAGAGCAGGAAGGCCGGCCTCCGCCGTCCAAAGGCAGCCCACTCACCATGAAGGATGCGGTACCACACACGCCCGAACTCGCCCTCGTCGGCATCTGTGGCCATTAACTGAGGAAGAATGAGATATGAGGTCACTCCTGGAATTCCACCCCACGAGAAGGGGGGAGAGAAGACGTTTGTGGAGCTTCTCTCCTTCCCTCTACAGTACCCCCAGCCCATCCTGCCCAAACTTGTGGTTTCCCAGAGAGGCCGGAGATGCGGGACGGGAGAGGGACATGTCTGTCTTTCTCATCCCCCACGAGGACATCTGACTGTAGATGTCTCCGTGCTGCTCTGTTTGTGGCGGGAGACCTGCCAGCTCTCCTCCCTGATTCTCCTCCAGGTTCTTGGGGAGGACAGGGAGAAGGTAGATGATGGATACAGCCTTGACTAGGTCGGCTCGTACCTCCACAGTTCCCTCCTTCAGCCTTTTGAGTGCCTAGGAACCTCACCTAGGGTGGTAAATTGTGTGAGCGCTTCTTGACTTGGTGACCCTGAGTAAGCCACACCTCTCTGGACCTCAGTTTTGTCATCTGAGAGAAGGGGCTGGATGACACCTCAGTCATCTAAAGGACTTTGACAGTCCACAGGAGGGTCCATTTGGTGCAAAGAATGCTTCTTTTGAGATCAAGGGCTAAGGGCAGGAGGAAAAAGCCAAATACCAAAAACTAGGGCTCCAAAAAAGGGGGTGGACCCCGGGCTCAGGCAGAGCCACAACTCCCCCTGCCCCACTGTGTTGTATTTCTGGGAGCGTGGGGGTCCTTGATGGAGAAGCTACTTAAGACTGAGGCTTCTAAGGAGGTAGCGGGTTGCCAGGGAAGCTCTGGCTTTGGGGAAGAAGGGAGGCTGGGGGAGGGGCATCTCTGTGTGTGTGTGGGGGGGTTGGTGTGGAGAGAGCCACTGCCTGGAGGGTCTCCAAGAGCTCACCCAAACTATGAAGAGCACAGCTTTGGCTGCCCCTCAATCCTAGGCTTTCTGCCCAGTGATCTCTTTGACCTTTGAACATGCCTCTCACTCCTCATGTCTGTAGCCAGACACTTTCAAAGGGAAAGTACTTTTCTGGGAAGTTGAGAGAGAAGCCTGGAAGGTGAGAGGACTAGGGCGATGGAGGGAGGATGGAGGGAGGAGGAGCCTCAGGGGCTACCAGGGCCCATCTCTCTGCTGTTCCCCTCCCGCTGTGAGCCCCTCTCCCTGGTAACCTGGGGGTTGGCAAGCACTGAATAGTGACCCACTGGCTGCTGCCTGACAGACGATACCATTCAAATGTCCACCAGGGGAAGGTGAGAGCCATGGGCTGCAGAGGCCTTGAAACCCTCCCCCAGCATTCCCCAAGTGCCCCTGCCCAACCCCTTCAGAGGGCTCCAAGGAGACAGGCTGGAGTGAGGCCCTGGGAGGGCTCCAGACCACAGCTCCCCTCTCCCTTGTCCAACCCAGTTGCCATCCCTACCCTCTTGGGTGTCCCCTCCCCCAAGGCAGGGCCCCAACTCTTTCAGACAAAGCCAAGTCCAGCAGGAGAGTAAAGGGAGACAGCCCACTTTGCCCAGCCTGGCTGACTGACGGACGCAGGGAACTGCAGAGTCCCGGGGTGGGTTGGGGTCGCAGGTGGCGCCCGGTGCTTCTCGGGCCTCTCTTGGAAAGCTGAGACGACCTTCCACCCAGCTCAGGACTCCTGAGGGCTGGCTCTGAGGTTAGTGCTTGGGGGACTGCAGAAGAAGGCCTGGCGAGGAAAGTGGGGCCAGACCCTTGTTGGGGTCCTCTGGGGAAACATGTGAAGGTATGCTCAAACCTGGGGAATCCCTCTGCTTTAGTATAGAGTGAAAACAAGTCCCAGTGAGGGGCAGTGGCTAGCCTAAGGCCATACAGCAAGATATGCTGTGAGGTCAGTCCCTCTACTCATAGACCCTGCTTTATGGAGCTCTGAGGCAAGAAAGAAGGTTCTAGACTAAGCTTGCGGAGCTATGTCCAGAGCAGGGCCTGCAAGAGTGCCCTGGACTCCAGTGGCATGGAAGAGATTTCACCTGCCCTCAAGGCGATTCCTAGCCTTGGTCTGATGGAGGCCTCCTTTCTCCAGAACCAGCCAGCCTGGCTGGTCAGAGGGGACATCAAGGGGGCCTCACAGTTGACATTGCATGTGTTTCAGGGAGGGTGGCTTGATGTTTTCAACCAATTCAGAACCTCTTGCTTCCAAGGGAATTACTCAGATGCTAATTATAAGCCTTGCTTATCTTTTTATTAAGGACTGAAGCCAGGACCTGCTTTTCTAGCCTGATAAGGTCTCCAGATCCATGAGAAGACTTGAAATAACAGTAGGACTAGCAGGATTGAGACTTCTCCCACTTCAAACTGCCCTTTTCTTATTCCCAGCCAAGCAACGCCCAGGGTAGGATAGAGAGACAATTAGTTTTCTCCCTGTGGGAGATGACAGTGGGCACGCCCCATCCCTCTTCCCTGCTCAGATTCAAGGCAGGGCCAACCCACATCTGGCTGCCTCTCCAGGCCACACCAGCAAGGCAGAGGCCCTGGCAGCTGGTCAGGGATCAGAGTTTTCGGTTGGGAGCTGGGAGGGGTTGTGTTCTCCCTGGAAATCCTGGAAGGAGTGGTGCTAGGGAATGGGTGGGCGGTGGGGTGGGGTACACTGGATGCCCTCAGTTGGCTGGGCACAGGGCAAGGATGCAAGCAGGAAGGAGGCTGGGCACAGGGAGTCGGGAGTTAGGTCTTGCAGCTGTGGTGAGTGTCTGGGGGAGGGGATGGGGGCTCAGGAGGGTGAGGACGGGGTAGGCCCTCTCCACTCCCCACTGCCTGCTGATATGGACTCTGCAGCCACCTGCAGAGCCTTGATGTGACTTGAGGACCTTCCTCCTACCAAGTGCTAGAAACTCTTGACTGAGTTAGACTAAGCTGCAAGTCGGGAGAAAGGAGGGAAAATCTTCTATCCGTAGTCTCACGAAAGTCTCCAAGGTCAGAGAGAAAAACACAATTATTATTGGACCTTTTTGGGGATTTCCTGTCCTGTGTTTGTAGAAATCATAGATCATGAATGCTGAACTGCAAAGCTGGATATGGCCTGCTAATGTGTTTTCTTTGGCTGTTGTAGTGTTTTAAATATTTGAAAATTCATTTTGAATTTTTTGCAATCCAGTTTGTTTGGTCTTTGCAATCTCCACACTCCCCAATATGAATTGATTGCCAACATTTAAACCTCACTAATAATTAAATAACATTTTAAGTTTGCTTAAAAATTCAGATTTCTGGCTTCTCTTGGGAAACTGGAAGAGCTGACCGCACTGGGCCTGCATCCTGGCATTCCATCAGCCTAGCTGAGGCACCTCCACCTCCTTGAGAGTGCTCTCCAGGTAGACCTGCCCACCTGTCCTCTTTGGTCACATGTTATCTACCGGCCAGGCCCTGTAAGCGTGTTTATTTGTAACCACTCAGCCTGATCTGTAAGGACCATCTGCCAAGTTCCCTCTAGTGGGATGGTCTTAAGTGATAACAGGTGACTAGTGTGTGTGGGAGGTTCAAACCCCACCTTGTCAACTCTGTTGTTCTCTGTAGGTTATTTCCCACCTGTCCTCAGACTAGCTCAGTGAGCCCTGAGGGAGGGTTGGAAGCCAGAAGCGTGGCTAAGGCCAGGAGTCAGGAAACCTAGTTCTGGCCTTTGTTTGGCCACTGGCTCACGGTGTGGCCTTGGCCTGGACTTCCCTTATTTGGGTCTCAGTTTCCTCACTTGTCATAGGAGCAAATTGGACTGCCCAGAAAACACCAACAG